GAGGAAAATGCAGGTCTCTGAAGGAAAAGCCTGTGGAGAATTTCAGTCCTGTGGGAATTTCAGGTTGTCATAAGGGTCTGAGATGGAAAAATCTCAAGAAAAGTGACAATAAGGAAACTCGTATCTGAAGAAAACACAAATTTCTGAGTCCAAAAATTGTGAAGAGAACTACATAGCATTCAAGTCTGAAATGCAATATCTGCAGAAAAGTAGCGTTAAGGGAACCAGCGTTTGAAGAATACACAGGAGTCTGAGGAGAAAATCCTGCGGAGAATGACTGTTTGTCACAAATGTCTGGGACACAAAATCTGAGGAAAAGTGACACTTTGGAAACCAGTGTCTAAGGAAAATGCAGGTCTCTAAGGAGAAAATACTAAGGAGAATTTCAGTTTGATAAGTGTCCGAGACAGAAAATCTGAGGATAACTGACATTAAGGGATCCAGTGTCTGAAGAAAACACTTGTCTTTGAGACAAAAAAGAATGTGTGAGGAGGACATACCATTCATGTCTGAGATGCAATATCTGAGGAAAAGTGACATTAAGGGAACTGTTAAGGGGAAGGATGTCCTAAAGGAACTCTGCAGAGTCTTATGGACTCCACCACCTCCTCCAGCCTTATGGACCCTACACCCTACTCCAGTGATTGGAAACTATAACTCCCAGCAGTACCAGGGATAGAACTGTGAGGACCCAAGGGGGGAGCTAAGCTAACAGGAATGAATTCTGGGACATTTGGGGGATAAATAGGGAGCGATTGCATCTCACACGCTCTCGCTGTCTCGCTCAGGAAGCAGCTCTCCAGGCCGCGTGACTTGGTGTGTTCAGTCTGCCCAGCCCTAAGGTATCCCAGTGACTTTGTATCCCGCTCTCTTTCCCTGGGTTGTTTCCTATTCCTTTCCCCTTTTGTAAATAAACCCATTATTGACCCTTTTGTGTTTCCTATTCCTTTCCCCTTTTGTAAATAAACCCATTATTGACCCTTTTGTGTGTACCTGCAGTGTAACTGAAATGTGAGCACGTGGTGAGGCCCCACAGACAGGTGGCCCTGTCCACTCTGGGCTACCCTGTAACAGAACCAGCATCTGAGGAAAATGCAGGTCTCTGGGGAGAAAATCCTGTGAGGAAGTTCAGTTTGTCATAAATGTCTGAGACAAGAAATCTGAGGAAAAGTGACCAAAATCCGTGTCTGAAGAAATCACATGTCACTGAGACACAAAAACATGAGAAGTACACAGTGTACATGTCTGAGATGCAAAAACTGTGGAAAAGTGACACCTTGGGAACCACTGTCAGGAAAATGCATGTCTGAGGAGAAAAACCTGAGGAGCTGTACTCTTTGCATAGAAGTACTCAAGATGCAAATTCTAAAGAGGGACTCTGAGGAAGAATGCCCGAGGCTGTACTCTTATGTGCAAGTGTATGAGATGCAGAATATGAGGAGAAATGAGTCTTTAGGAACCAGTGTGACTGCGGAGACAATAGCCCTCAGAAGAGAAAGAAAAAAAAAATGAGAATTACTTTTGGGAACAAATGTGAAGTCTCAAAGTCCTAGGGAAAATGACTCTTTTGGAACCAGTGTCTGAGGGGAACTCAGGCCTCTAAGGAGAAAAACCTGAGCACAAGTGTCTGAGGAGCAAAACCTTAGGGTAAAATAGACCAATTCTTTACTTGCGGAGATTTTCCTATCCAGAGGGTGATTTATCACAGAAGTAGCTGTGAGTAAAGGACACGCACAGACACCCACGGGCAAGGTGCCTCTCCTCCAGCAGCAGATTCCACCCTGTCCGGAAGGCACGGTCCCACTCGGGGTCACTTTCCAGACCTGAGTCTCTGGGGGTCCGAGGGTCACCCTGTCCGCCGGCAGGTCAGAGCCGGCTAAGAGCGTAAGGACCAGGAAGCGCCCCTGGCTGGATGCTGGCCCTGTTGGGACTGCCCGGCCCGGCACGGGTCGCCCACCAGCAAGCCGCCCTGAAGGCGCACGGCCTAGGGCTTGGGGGGGGGGGTGCCTCGGGTCAGTCCTGGCTGATCTGGAGCGAAAAGCAACAGCACCGGAACTTCAGGGCAGCGACTCCTACGCGTGGGGGCGGCCAGAGGGCGCCTCTCCCAGCGCAGTGGGCTGCCCACGTGCACCCCTCCCTGGAGCCCCTCTTCCCCTCTGCACCCCGAGGCTGCACTCCAGGTTGGGGGTCACAGTCGCCTGGCGCCCACGTGCGCCAGGGCCTGGGCGAGGCACCCCCGCCGCCTCGAGCCCGAACAGGTCGCCCCGAAACCCTGTGCCCGCCTCCGCCA